TACCAATTTCTTTACAAACCTCAATCGCCTCTTTGCGTAACTCACTCGATTTGTTGCACTCTTTTAAATCAGTATAAAAAAGAGCAAGAAGCTGCAGGCATAAGCTTTTAATAAGTTGTTGGTCAGCACAATTTTGTAAACCATGGACATGTTTCAAAATACATTCAATACCCGACTTGATATTTCCTTTGACAATAAGTGAAATTCCTTCGTAACAACCTAATTTTCCTGCACTACCATCCGATAACAACATGACGTCCTCACGTATATGTTCAGGTATTTCTAAACACTCAACCTCCGAGAGAAGGTTGGAAGAGGCAATACTTTCAAAATACTTGCTGACATGCAACTTTGAGTAAGTGTCATTGTATTGCTGTGTTCTGCATTTTTCTATAGCAAAACCATATAATTTGGAAATATCTAGCGATACACTGGAGGGTAAGCCAATAAGAAAAAGAAATATTTCAGACCTGGACAAGATGCGAAAAAAATCTTGGCAATTTTCCAAACTACTTGTGCTTGTCGCAAAATAATGAATGGCAATCGACAGATGCTCCATTGTGTCTTGCAGTCGGAGAGTGTCCACCGACTTCCCAGAGAGAAAATCGTCATTAATCCTTTCAAAAAGAAGAAAGTAATACCTACAAAAGCGAATACTAGCGGATTGAAAAACATTCTCAAAATCACTTTGTTTTGCTTTATCGACAACAAAAGAATGAATGAGAGGATGAATAGAGTAACATTCTCTACAGGGATCTTCATCAATTAGTGATTTTTTCACAAGTGTCTTGAGGCTCCCTACGGCTTTCGCGATCCCCATTTCTTCAGATACAACGCCAATCGCAGCATCTTTACTTATTCTAGAGGTTAAAAATACGCTTAATGAAATAAGAGCATGTTTGTCAGTTAATGCCAGCTGCTCAAAAGGAATCTCGAATAACCTTTTCATGTTTTGCTCGTATGAACTGTCTATGTCCAAAAGATTTCCCGAAAGACTTAATTCCTCAAGTATTTTATATGCCATATCTTCAGTGTTGTACTCAACTAACGAAGTGACGAGTTTTGTTGCCAGAGGAACATGGGAAGAAATTCTAGCCACATTTGCAACAAGAGTTTCAGAAAATGAAGGAAGAAGTTGACGAACAAATTTAACAGACGAAACTGGATGAAGGGGTCGAATTCGGATGTCTAGAAAACCTTCTATTTGATCGCGCATTTTTTCCAAAAGCTCCCTCGTTGTAAACACTATATTGATGTTATCATTAATGTCTAACAATTCTTCAAATAAACCCGTAAGTTTAACGAAACTCCTTTCACTCGACAGAAGATCATCGAGGTTATCAAATAAAAGAAAAATTCGAGACGAAATTTCTCTTAGAATACTTACTAGCTTGTCAATAGGTGCTAAACTAAGATCTGCTAAATTACTCTTAAAAATACTTAAAATTTTAGACAAAAATCCATCTACTGTTCTAATACCCTGAAGTTTAAAAAAATAAACAGGGCTGCCGAGAGACAAAAGATGGCGTGCTACCTCAATAGCTGTGGATGTTTTACCAAATCCAGGAGATCCCCAGATGTTTAGCAGTCGTGTTGATTGACCAGTTATAAGGTTTGTAATTTCTTCAATTTCATCTTCTCTACCAGTGAAGAATAGAACAGGGCTTGGGACATATGGCTTGGGTAATGTATCTAGGTTTAATGATATGATTTTAATTAAATCGACTTTTCCGGCGTTAAATACGAGGTTCCTACTAATATTAATGGGCAGCTTTTTATAACTTACCAGACAAACTTTGTCTGAATAGAAATGTATCAACAGTGACCTCTCACCGACTCAAATTTGTACAAGTTTGCTAAAAGTTAAAATTTGCTAAATGTTAAAAAAGCGTATCTCACCATGCTGCATGCATGACATTAAAAACTCAAAACCCTTTATTTAAATCTCCTATCCAGACAAAAAAGTGGAATCAACAGTCAAGTGACTTAAATTATCATTAAAGACTCATCGTTACCGGGTGCTTGCATTTATTACGGATCTCACCGAACTGTGGCATTGCAGCAAAAATTCATATCGCCGTCACACCCACAAACGTCTGAGGCCACTCCTACATATTTTTGCAAGTTTGCAATTCTAATCTTAAACATGGCATCCCGTTCCTGGTAACAATTGCTATAAACCGTTGTTTGGCAGTTTAAAACTAGAATTGTAAACATTTTAAAATTATGTGCCGGTGTTTGTAAACATTTGTAGGAGTGGTAGTGATACAGATTTTTGATACGACACCACAGTTCGGTGAGATGTTTTGATACGACACCACAGTTTGTCAAAAACGTTGAATCTGAGTTTCTGATACCGAAGGAAGATTGTCATTTAAAGGATTTTTTTTAAGAATGTAATCCATAAGCATGTTATCGTTGGATTACAATATATTACTAAACTTATTATATACATGACAAAATTACTGCAATCTGATTGGTTAAGAGGAGTGCAATTATTTCATTAATTGCACTCTCCAGGAGTGCAATTAATGATTTTCGTGATGGCTGGGGGGAGTGGGAAATCAAAACAACAAAATCCAATATGGCGGCGTAATTTAGATAAGTATTTCTAACAAATGTGGACGAATTTAACTGAATTTTGGCACAAGAATGAGTTTAAGAAACATTGTATGGCAAAAAGAGCCTGTGGAAAATACCTGGAAAAAGTCTTAAGAAATAATCTTGGCGGGATGCAGCGAAACGTGACTATGTAAGTTTGAAATACAATTTATAAAGATTTTCGTAGTCTAAAATATGTTGTTTGAGTTTGAATCTTGTGCTCTTGTTTAAGTTATGTGCCTTTATGAGTTTATAATCATTTCCCAAGTTTGTTTATACCAAATTGCTTACAAAAGAATTAAAACTCTTGACAAATTGCAGTTGTAATGTAAAGAAAGCGATTTTGTCATGCATATAATAAATAAATAAATAATCACACGGGCAAGTCGTGCAATTAATGATTAACACTACTCGTGATATTTGAAAATTGTGCCAAATTGCACTCGCCTCGGCGGCTCGTGCAATTTTCGCACATTTTTCAAATATCACTCGTAGTGTTAATCATTAATTGCACTCCTTCCCGTGTGACTACCTATACTTTTACATACATGACAAAATTACTGCAATCTGATTGGTCAAGGTGGCTCAATACACTTTTTAGCCAAAGGAGCAAAAGTTGAATATTTTCTGTTTAAATGCTTTTACAGGGTTAAGTTTTACTTATAATTGTAACACATAGTAAGAAGTGTCGCAAACAAGAAGAATTCTGATAAAAGTCGCGTTTCCATGACAACTATAACGAATAATGGTAACAATAAATAGGCGAAAATATCGCAGTTTTTCGAGTTTTTTTTCAAAAATGAGTTCGGTGACCCCAATTTTTTTTTTTAATAAATCAGTTACGTTAGTGTCGAGAAACATTTCTGGGAAGTTTAAAAAAATCTGTCGACTCAATTCTTTAGAATTAAATTTCGACTTTTTGACAGTTTCTGTCGACAATTTTTTTTATTTTTCCATCATGAAATCTTGAAGTATGTATCTACTCATGTACAAATTTTCAGGGTACCTTACCGAACTCGTTTTGGAAATAATCACGGTTTTATTTCGCGCGGCCAAAGTTTTTCACACTCACAAAAAAAACACGCACAAAAACGTTTTTAGTCTCGTCGAAATATCAAATATATGTTGTGTTTTCTTGCTTAGAAATGCAAATATATTTAGTTTTGCATGCTAACTCGGGATAACGCCAAGAAAACAGGTGATTGTCGGTCGTTTGGTATAAGATATGTGTGACATGTATGAACTTTTTGGCTTTTCTACATAATTTTATATTCATTTTCAGTCGTAACTTGTGTGTTTTTATGTTGTTATTGACAAGTTAAAACAGTTTGAGCCGGCGCATGATGCTGTTTCACTGAATTCCTTTGCTGTTAGTAACACTTTGAATACATTTACTAGTTGTAAGTACAAAAAAACTCTGGATATGAACTTATAAATTGCCAACTATTGGAGTAAAAAACTTTTCGCCAGTCGGGCCGATCGCCGGTTTTCATAAGAGTTTGAACGTTGAACATTGCATTTTTTACCTTAAAATGTCTTCTAAAAAGATTAGTTATTCAATGTTCAGAGCTAAATCAGGACGAAGTTTGTTCTTTGAGAACAAATGAGAACAAGGAAGACTCAAAACATCAAAATAAACATGACTTGCGGTTCGGACTTTGTTTTTGCATATATTTTTAACATTTTCGCGCGAAAACTCAAGATTAGGTACCAGTCCCCCAATGATTTAAAGTGTATGGAGCCACCTTAAGAGGAGTGCAATTATTTCATTAATTGCACTCTCCAGGAGTACAATTAATGATTTTTGTGATGGCTGGGGGAGCGGTAGCCTGTGTTCCAGTCCACTTCACCGTAGTGAGTGGACTGTGCAATATTCTCAAATTTCTCGTCCAGCGACTTTCAAATAAACTTGATAAATTTATGCACACGTCAGCATGATAGAATGTTTAATTATAATTTATGCAAATAACAAACATGGCGGCCGACAAAGACGTGCTCATGAATAAAATATTTGAAGAAGCTTTCGATTTATTTAAATATGTGTTCAAAGTGGAAAAGCTTTACGTTGATCAGACGAAATTGATAAAAGCATTCTGTAATGGGTCGAATGTATTTTTCAACGCACCAACGGGTTATGGAAAGTCTATAGTATTTCAATCTCTTCCGTGGGTGACTGATGTGCTTTACGAACAAACCATAGGATTTTCAACTTTAATTGTTATCTCACCATTGCAATCATTAATGGAGGACCAATGTAATCGTATGAAGGATATTGGTATTTCTTCAATAGCTCTGTATTCTGACAATGCGGGTGACGAGTCTATACTTAAGGACGTTAGAGAAGGCATGTATTCTTTGGTGTACGCATCACTAGAATGTCTGCTTGGAAAAAAATATGGAGAAGTATTTTATGTTCTGACGAATTTCGTGATCATTGCATTGGAATAGCGTATGACGAAGCCCACATAATTTCTCAATGGTAATGTTTATAGAATATATTATTATTAAAAGAGAGAGACAGAAAATTGTAAGACACAACGCACAGTTTACACGAGCTATTACCCCCTATGAGACCTACTAGAACACTTAGAAGCGAGGCTAGAGATACAAGGGATCATTTATATTAAATAGATGCTTATTCCAGTATATATAGAACAGTAATCTTATTGAACTTTTTATCTATACTATAGTTATATGTTTTATATTAGAGTACACATTTATATTTGTTAAGTCAATTACAATGGTGGATTTAGGGGAGGGGTGCAGGGGGGTGCGCACCCCCCCCCCCAGGCTCAGGTCAACAGGGGTGCATGGAGGTGCAAAAATGACGTTTATCCTAATTCTAACCAACTTATGTTAAGGAATTCAGTTGAATATCACTAGAATGTTTTCACATAATGTTGGAAATGCCATTTCAGAGACCCAAATTTTAAATTTTTTTGCGCCTTTGGCGCTCGGCTGGTGGTTTCGCCATTGATTAGCACCCCTCCCCCCCCCCCAAAAAAAAAATATGGCATGTTTAAACTCCTTAATTTTGTTCTATTTGTACATAGATTTATTGGTGATACAAATGAACATTTATCTTTACTGCTTTGTAGGGGATATGATGCA